ACTTGTTAATGGGCTATCTAATAATCAGATGTATCCCCATCACTACAATAATGACCTAGGTGTCTTTGCTCGAGATCACCAAAGCATATGTGGCTTGAAGGCTAGGGTTGAAGGATTGTCAAGGTTGCTTAACTCATTCCCTAGTGGTGGCTCCTCAACCAACCTAAGAGAGAGGCTTTAACCAATGCACAAGACTCTCTAAAAAACATATCATACCTAATTTAACATCATTGTTGTTGTTGTTGCATAATTCCCGAAGTAAAGCATACCTACTACGGCAACTCCCATGATGCTACTCCCAAAGTCTATTCATTGGATGCAATGGTAGTTGAGATACAAAGCAAATTCCATGCTCTATGCCAAACATTGCAAGGCCTACGAAGTCCATAGGGACCTCATCCACTATATGGCAGTTGATCTTAGAGCTATCTAGACCACTTGGCCCTTCCATACTTGGGCCATGGACCCTGCTGGCCCCATCTCTCTAGCCTCAGGAGCCAATATTTGGATCGACACATCAACAAAATTGTATACCATATTGGTGGAAGCTGTTTCTCTCAAAAGAGCCATAGGAGCAACAGTTGCTAACTTCATTTGAGAAAGCATCATTTGTTGAGGCATTCCCAAAGTCATCCTCTTAGATAATGGGACACCTTTTGTTAATTGATACGCAAGCTAACTCCTTGCCACACATACAATGTAACTCGTCACAAATCCTTTTGAAGGTTGTCTATTCTTGAAGTCCTCTTAGGTAACCTTTTGAAGATCAATTCTTTCCAAAAGCTGAAAATTAAGCCTAAGGCGTCTAGAAAAAACCTCCTGAAGATAGTGGGCATGTGCTAGAATTTGTGCAACTACTTGGCTTGGCTCTAGTTTCACCTCGACAAAAAAGAATAGTTAAGAAAGCCTCACTTCCTTACCATGGGGGCGTTGGGAGTTTTGACCCAAAGTAGTGGCACATAAACCACCATTTATGGTAGCTTATTAGTTAGCTTCGAACTATGGTACTATGAGATAGGCTAGGGCATGGGACACCACCAAGCGTGGTCTAGGGCATCTTACTCTACATTGAGGATTTTTCGCTCAGCAATAACATCGCTTATCACCACTTGGCTCAACCAAGAGGTTCTCCACCAAACCATGATCCTCCTCAAAATTATAAAAGGTGTGCGCCTCCTTCACCCTAAGTTAACATTCTTTGCTTGGCAATAACATGGCTTGCTACCCCTTGGCTCAAACAAGAGTTCTTCACCAAACTATGATCCTCCTCAACAATATAAAATGGTGCACCTAGGCGCAAGTCGCAGCTAGAAGCATGAAGGGCGCCTAACCCATGCCAAGGCGAGGCAACATGAATAAGTTGAATGTGAAGCAATCTGCTAGCATACTTGGTTGCAATTTTGATTTGCATTGTTTTTTGTTGATGTTTGACCATTGATTTTGGTTAATATATGGACTCATCTTATGAACATCCACAAGGCATTACATTCCTTTAATTATACAGTGCCCTCAAGGAACTACCAAAACAAACCAAACTAAGCCTTATGTCTCATGCAAGTGGGGTTTCACTTTATTTATGAGAAGGAAAAAAAAAAAAAAAAAGAAGTGGGATTTTACTACACGAATCCTTTTTTCCATTTTACTTTGTCAAAAGCTATATCCATAGGGGATTACATCACTTTAATTATATATTGCCAATATAGTGTATTCAGTCCCAATTTGACAATAGCAAAAAATTCCCTCAAGTCAAGAAGAAACTGCAGCCTTCGTTCATCATCAATCATCTCCAAGGTTCATTCGTTCGTTCGTTCCTTCTTCTTCTTCTTCTTCTTCTTCGTCGTCGTCGTCGACCAACCACCTTGCACCTAGGTCCCAAGAGACCCTGGCACCTCTTTGCACCTTTCGCCTTTAATAATATTGATCCTCATATGCCTAATTCTCCAGCCTTTAAATGTGTTCTTGTTCTTTCTTCTTTTGCTCCTCTTCATTCATTGACTAGTCGCCTTGCACCTAAGACCCAAGAAACCTTGGCACCTCAGTGCGCCTTTTGCCTTCACTAATTTGATCCTCCTATACCTCATTCTACTTGTTAATGGGCTATCTAATAATCAGATGTATCCCCATCACTACAATAATGACCTAGGTGTCTTTGCTCGAGATCACCAAAGCATGTGTGGCTTGAAGGCTAGGGTTGAAGGATTGTCAAGGTTGCTTAACTCATTCCCTAGTGGTGGCTCCTCAACCAACCTAAGAGAGAGGCTTTAACCAATGCACAAGACTCTCTAAAAAACATATCATACCTAATTTAACATCATTGTTGTTGTTGTTGCATAATTCCCGAAGTAAAGCATACCTACTATTGGCTCGGAATGAAAGCAAATTCCATGCTCTATGCCAAACATTGCAAGGCCTACGAAGTCCATAGGGACCTCATCCACTATATGGCAGTTGATCTTAGAGCTATCTAGACCACTTGGCCCTTCCATACTTGGGCCATGGACCCTGCTGGCCCCATCTCTCTAGCCTCAGGAGCCAATATTTGGATCGACACATCAACAAAATTGTATACCATATTGGTGGAAGCTGTTTCTCTCAAAAGAGCCATAGGAGCAACAGTTGCTAACTTCATTTGAGAAAGCATCATTTGTTGAGGCATTCCCAAAGTCATCCTCTTAGATAATGGGACACCTTTTGTTAATTGATACGCAAGCTAACTCCTTGCCACACATACAATGTAACTCGTCACAAATCCTTTTGAAGGTTGTCTATTCTTGAAGTCCTCTTAGGTAACCTTTTGAAGATCAATTCTTTCCAAAAGCTGAAAATTAAGCCTAAGGCGTCTAGAAAAAACCTCCTGAAGATAGTGGGCATGTGCTAGAATTTGTGCAACTACTTGGCTTGGCTCTAGTTTCACCTCGACAAAAAAGAATAGTTAAGAAAGCCTCACTTCCTTACCATGGGGGCGTTGGGAGTTATGACCCAAAGTAGTGGCACATAAACCACCAATTATGGTAGCTTATTAGTTAGCGTCGAACTATGGTACTATGAGATAGGCTAGGGCATGGGACACCACCAAGCGTGGTCTAGGGCATCTTACTCTACATTGAGAATTTTTCGCTCAGCAATAACATCGCTTATCACCACTTGGCTCAACCAAGAGGTTCTCCACCAAACCATGATCCTCCTCAAAATTATAAAAGGTGTGCGCCTCCTTCACCCTAAGTTAACATTCTTTGCTTGGCAATAACATGGCTTGCTACCCCTTGGCTCAAACAAGAGTTCTTCACCAAACTATGATCCTCCTCAACAATATAAAATGGTGCACCTAGGCGCAAGTCGCAGCTAGAAGCATGAAGGGCGCCTAACCCATGCCAAGGCGAGGCAACATGAATAAGTTGAATGTGAAGCAATCTGCTAGCATACTTGGTTGCAATTTTGATTTGCATTGTTTTTTGTTGATGTTTGACCATTGATTTTGGTTAATATATGGACTCATCTTATGAACATCCACAAGGCATTACATTCCTTTAATTATACAGTGCCCTCAAGGAACTACCAAAACAAACCAAACTAAGCCTTATGTCTCATGCAAGTGGGGTTTCACTTTATTTATGAGAAGGAAAAAAAAAAGAAAGAAGAAGTGGGATTTTACTACACGAATCCTTTTTTCCATTTTACTCTGTCAAAAGCTATATCCACAGGGGATTACATCACTTTAATTATATATTGCCAATATAGTGTATTCAGTCCCAATTTGACAATAGCAAAAAATTCCCTCAAGTCAAGAAGAAACTGCAGCCTTCGTTCACCATCAATCATCTCCAAGGTTCGTTCGTTCGTTCATTCATTCGTTCGTTCCTTCTTCTTCTTCTTCTTCTTCTTCGTCGTCGTCGTCGACCAACCACCTTGCACCTAGGTCCCAAGAGACCCTGGCACCTCTTTGCACCTTTCGCCTTTAATAATATTGATCCTCATATGCCTAATTCTCCAGCCTTTAAATGTGTTCTTGTTCTTTCTTCTTTTGCTCCTCTTCATTCATTGACTAGTCGCCTTGCACCTAAGACCCAAGAAACCTTGGCACCTCAATGCGCCTTTTGCCTTCACTAATTTGATCCTCCTATACCTCATTCTACTTGTTAATGGACTATCTAATAATCAGATGTATCCCCATCACTACCATAATGACCTAGGCGTCTTTGCTCGAGATCACCAAAGCATATGTGGCTTGAAGGCTAGGGTTGAAGGATTGTCAAGGTTGCTTAACTCATTCCCTAGTGGTGGCTCCTCGACCAACCTGAGAGAGAGGCTTTAACCAATGCACAAGACTCTCTAAAAAACATAGCATACCTAATTTAACATCGTTGTTGTTGTTGCATAATTCCCGAAGTAAAGCATACCTACTACGGCAACTCCCATGATGCTACTCCCAAAGTCTATTCATTGGATGCAGTGGTAGTTGAGATACCTCCATATTAACCAAAGAGGATGAGCCACTTGTTGAGAGAAAAGTTCAACCCTTGGTTTGAGCCTCCTAGATAAGGGATCTCCATGCATATATTTGGACAATCTAGCTATCCTTAGTAATTTCTCTAATGAGCAAGCCCTCTCCACTACCTTCCTCTCTCACCTAAGATCTCCAATGGTTCCTTGGCATCTCAATGTCCGTCATTTTTTCAAAATATCTCATGTGGCCATCTCACCCACCATTATCCACACCTATTATTCCAACTTGAAAGATGGAAACAAATATATTATTAACTTTGGGATGAAAAAACAATTGCATGCATGCCTAGTGCCCCTTTAATTCATTAGCAATCCTAATTATAAATACTAACTTCAGCATGATAACATGTCCACACACACACAAATTAAAGTACATTTGCTACATAATTTTAGCACATCTTTGACATTAACTTCAATGATTTTTTTTTATTATTATTTGAAAAGTAACTTCAATGAAATTGTATGATCATAAGAATGTTGACTACAAAGAGTATCACCTGTCCATGTTCCAATTGAATGCAAGCACCTGACTGGAGAATATCCAGGGCCTCAGAGTACCTCTCGGCCAATATGTATCTACAATAAAGACGCATTTTTCATCACTTCACAAATCAAAAAATAAGGGAGCAGCTATTCCCACTCCACTTTGCTCCAAATGCACTCCTTTCTTTGCTCCAAATATATTAATACCCTTGGAATTTTGATTTTTTTAGGGAGTATATTTTGTGTGAAAGGGTATTAATGTAACCATGTATAATAAAGGACAAAGAATGGAGTGTATTTGGAGCAAAGTGGAGTGGGAATAGCGGCTCCCAAAAATAATATAAACACTATTGCAGACATTTGAGCATATTTGTATTTTTATTATTTTCTAAAATTTTATTTTTAATCATTAATTGCGCCCTGACCTACACAAGAGGGTGAAAGAAAGAATGAGAATGGTGCAAAGGGTATATTCACAACAACTGTCCTGTTTGGTATTGCTTTTAGAAACTTCTCTTTATATCCAGTTTTCAACATTATATCTCAATTGAAAAAAACATAAAATTTTGTATACAAAGCCATTTTAAGATTGTATATTTTGTATTTAGTATTTAATAAATCATATGCCTTACAATCAAAACCAGTGACCTAAACATAGAGATGTTCAAAAAATTGGTCGAACCGGTAAACCAGTCCGAACCAGTCCAAATTGTCTGGTTTGGTTCCCTATTTTAGGGAATGGTTCAGTTCCAGTTCTAAGTAACTAAGAACCATGATCTAATGTTCAGTTCACTGAAGAAGAATCAAAAGAACTGGATGGACATCAACCGAATTGTTTCCTTCTTAAAAAAAATTTAATATGTAGGGGTGTTTTGCTATCGGCTCCCACAAACCCCAACCCCATTCCAACTTCTTATTCATAAGATACTTTCTCTATACATAAAATATACCTATGTACATTTTTCACTATTTATATGATTTTTACACTTGCATTTCTATAATTAGGCAATTTTGTTGTGTCTTTACACATTTTAATAAACTAGTTTGGATTATATTTTGAAACTTGAAGTATGCTTGTGAATTTTTTTTGGAATGCTTCTATAAATATAATCAATTTTTATTGAACGGGATAGTCAAGATATAAACATATTTTTTCAACTTTGGATTGTAGGACCAAACTGGAACCGAACCATTTTTTGCAGTTTGGTTCTGGTCCAATCCAAAGATTTCACAGTTCAGTTTGGTTCCTAAAAATATTCTAGAAATGTAGGAATCAGTTTGATTCTTGGTTCCCAAACCAAACCAGTCTATGAACACCCCTACTTAAAACATTGCCAAAAAAATATTTAACAAAATATTTTCCGCATTATATCATATTTCTCATTAGAACACAAAATTGTATTCAGAAACAACATTACCCTGACCGCAAATCATATGGCAATCGCATCAATCAAAAACTGCATAGAACATTAAACTTGTTGAATAACAACTGATGTAAATATATAAGTGCATACATACATATATATATATATATATATATATATATACCTTGCAGTAACAGACTTGTACATCTGTTGAGCTCCGTAGTAATTGCCATCATTCACAACTTTCTGCAGCTTTTCAATGTTCTGTATTATTTAACACCAGAAAACAACGGCAATTCAGAAATCGGTAACTAAATATATATATATTGAAATATTGATGATTATCATGTGATTTCAACGAGAGGGGAAAATTCAATAGACTAAACGGTAATCTGGAGAACAAGAACAAGAACAAGAATGATAATAAGATTATGAGTGAGTGATTGAGGTTGATCATATGATACCTCTTGGGCAGGAGGTAGTACTCCTCTTCTGGGTCTCTCTCGCGACATGGCTCTCCAATTTCAGACTTCGCTGCTGCAGATATATCTGTGAGAATGAGGTAACACCCACGCTGGTGAAAAGTGAGCGTACTGTATTGTATTGTATTGCCATTGTCCTGTTTTTTACACTGCAGTACTTCAATTTTTTTTCCCCACCCTAGAAAGTTGACTACCATCTAATATAAAAAAAATATATTATTAAATTTATAACCCTATTTTATATTTTATAGTTTTTAAAATAATACTGCAGTATTTCAATTTTTTCCCCCCACCCTAGAAAGTTGGCTATCATCTAATATAAAAAAATATATTATTAAATTTATATTAAACAGGGTTGTTTATGGTTGTTTTTAAAATGTTAAATTAGTAATTTTTTTGTCTTTTTATAAATATATATATATATATATATATGTATATTAAATATAAGTTGGGATTGAAGTGTTGTAACCTAAATAAAATGTAATGTAATTCAAATAAGATAATATGCTACTTTAGCATATGCTAAACAATCTCTAATGATGAATTTTACATGTGATTATTAATTTGATATTTTTATCTAATTTTGAATACAAATTCATTTTAAGAATAAATTGACAAAAAAATTAAAACACTGGCGTTGTTTGATTTCATTTTTTGGAAACAAAAAAATTCTTTTTCAAAAAATAAAAATTAGTTTGACAAAAAATAAATATAAAAAATATATTTTAAAATTTTTAAAAATTAATTTTTCCATTCAAAAAGGTAAAAGCAAAAAAAGTGATACGTACTTTTTATTTAGAAGATTTATTTATAAATCCCTTTTAGAGGACTTGTAACTTAATAAGTCCATAAAGTTTTCTTGCAAACCTATCTAATGTCATTCGTTTAGACTTTTATTCTAGTAGGTATTGATTTGTATTTTTTGTTAGACTATTATATCCTTATTTTATTTTATTCATATGTATTACACACAAAATAAGATAAACATGTTTTTCATATTTTGCTCTTTCTGTTTTGGCAGTTTTGCGTGATCATTGTTTACTGGGGATTTAGTGTGATACGATTTTGAGATCGTATTCATTTCTTCATCGGATGTTGAATCAGGTTTCATCCAGTCGAAATCGACAGTGGCAAGATAATTGCAATCGGCGGAGATAGAGACAATGATGAGCTTGGGTGAGGTTTTGTTTCCATTTCTGTTTCTATTTCTAGTTTTGGTTCTACTTTGTGTGAATAGTTTTTCTGTAAAAGTTTGAGAGAAATATCAGGATTGTGAGGAGTGAGATCTCTAGTACAGTAATAGGCCATTCTTTGTACAAAGGAGAGGTGGGTTTAATTTGATTTGGATTGGTGTAATAGTGGAATTGCAGGAATTGTTGATAATAGTGACAATGATGACAATGAAGATAATGAAGAGGAGATTATGGGTGATTTTTTTTTTTTTTAAGGGATTTAGATTTTTTAGATTTCTGATTTTATTACTACCATTGATTTTGGTTTTTGGGTGTTGGATTTCAATTTATCAGTGATTTTTTGAGATTGGTAATGTATCTAATATACATATGATGTGAATGTTCATATCATTAATCAGTGTTGATATTCACATTAATTTGAAATGGAAAATTGTCATCTTGTTGTCAATCGGTGTTAATATTCACATACTCATATAAGATTGAATGGTGAGTATGTTTTCACTGTATTCATTACCACTGTGACAATTTGATATTAAGATTTACATCAGCATTACATCAAATCACACAATCACAAGCCTCAATTTTCATTTTGGATATATACATGATGTAAATGTTCACACTAGAACATATGAATGTGAAGGTTCACATGAATTTTAGAATATAAATAAAGACACTATAGTTTCAAAGTTTAATTGCCATTATGAAATGGTGATATTAAAGTTCATATCAAAATTGCATTACCCACTGTGATGCCCCAAAAATCGGGAACATCAAATAATATATTAACAAATAAATATAGGATTTTTCTAAGGTTATGAGTCTAAAAATAAATAATAATACATCAGAGTTAAATATATTACAAATGACACTGCCCTTATTTTACAAATTATAAGTAAAATAAAATTTCAATAGCAAAATGAAAAACCCGACATTGGTCTACGCGTGTTGCAATTTTTTGAGCTTTTCCATAACATCTTCTTCACTGGTGAATTCTTTCAAAATTTGGCATTAATGTCAGGGCACCGAAAATAACCATAAGTTGTGATGCCGAATAAGAACACACACACACCCTAACTTTCTACACTCTTGAAATATACAAACAAGTATAGACTATAATGATTCCGGTTTATACCCAACCCATTTATTGCTTTGAATTCAAGAATCCATATCTTTTACTATTGTTCATTTCATTTTCATCTTGCTGCTAGTTGAGTTTGGTTGTTTAGGAGTTCTTGTTGTGTTTGGAACAGGTTGGGGATTAATTTTTCAAAGAGTTGCAGTCCAATTTTCTTCTTGTTCACTCAAGTAGTTTTTCTTATGCTCGAGCAGTCTTTTACAGTCTAAAAAACTTCTAGAAGTAGAGTGTCTTCGCTCGAGTGGTATTTCTTGCACTCGAGCAGTCTTTTATAGGTCTGAGCTTCTAGGAGGGGGTCATTGTGTGCTCGAACTATGTTTTTGGTCACTTGAGCAGTGTCACTTATTGTGTCTGACGCTCGAGTCGAGCGGTGTTTTGGTCACTCGAGTGGTCTGCACATATATCAGCTTAGGAAAAATGATTTTTGAATCACTTTTCATTTGCTCTCTCTCTCTCTAAAACATTTCAAAACCCTAGTTCTTCAATTTCTCTCTCTACAGTTCTTACTTAAAACCTCAAATATACCACCACCCATTGATTTCTCCACCATAACTCTTTGGAGAAAATGGTAGAGCTCGTCTAAAGCTTCATTCTAATCAAAGAAAATCTCATTTCTGACTTAGCCAAACTTCAAACCTTGCTTTCTCCGTCTTCTAAATCTTGAGGTAGAGATTTCTTTAACTTTTGGTATGATTTTTACCTTAGTTATTTGTCCATTAAAAGAATCTAGTGATTAAGGGATTTTGGGTTAAACTTAGGATTTGATTTTGAAATGTAAATAGGAGTTTTCAAATAGGTTCTTGAGAAAGGTTGTGGGGATGTGTTTATGGTTGAGATATATTAAAATGGTGGATTTTTTTACTTAAATTTGATTTTGGAAAATAAAGGGGTTTTTGTTCTAAAATCATTGTGGAAGAAAAGGGAAATGATGTTGGGTTTTGAACGAATAGAATGAATGTGTATTTGATGATGATGGTGGAGTTGGATATGTAATATCACTCTTATTTTGAAAATGATGAAATTATATCTTTTGTTGAAAATTATCTGTTGAATAGAAATATTTGTTTTGGGCTATCGGTGACGGATAACTTTGATTGTTGTAGAAATTGCATGAGGATTAGGTAAATTAAAACTAATTACTCATACATCTTGCATTAAACATTGTTTCATACTTAAACATTAAAAATGTATTGTTTTGAGAAAAAATAGTGAATATATTGGTGAATCTGGCTAGGGAGTGTGGTTGTGGTTATTATGTTGGCCTGTGTGTCCTTGGTAAAAATCGAGAAACTTACATGGTTAGGTGTCGATCCTTCTAGTTAGTACCAGTAAAATGGCTTTGGTAGTGCTTGTATAGCCTACTGGCAGACACGTACCTAGAGATTTTCAGTGTTTTGTATCCACTACCCTGTTTTCTTATATAAAAGATAATTTTCATAAATTGATACATAATATGGCATTACATTGTTTTGAGATTGAAATATAAAACATTTGACAATTGGCATGCATATGCATTCACCTTTTGACTTCGTTAAGATTTATATATTGTGTTAAAGTATCTCTACTGAGTTTTTAGCTCACTCTATGTGGAAAATAACTTTCAAGCGTTGAAAATATGCCTCCACCAAAGACATAACTAGAGAGGACTTTGAGCCAAGGGCTTCATTTTATTTATTTGATGTAATTATTTTTGTACAAGCTTTGTGCTTTAATTGTATTAAGTTAAACTCATTTTATTGTACCCAAATATTGACTTGGAAATATGTAGTCATTATGGCATAAAATTACTTTATTCTCCTTTTATTTCAATTCATGTATACATCTCATATGCTATAGATTCAGGATCTAGAATTTACAAATGTATACACGCATATGTCATCTTTTGTATGATTAAGGATTATGAATGAAATATTAAATATGATGTTATTGATGAATTGTAAGGAATATTATGAGATGGGTTATTGTTATTATTTCGGAGCATTACGTAGACAGTACGAACAAGTTGAAGTACAACATATAATTTGTGTACATAGAAATTATAGAGAATTGCGAACAATTACAACAATACACAACCATAAATGACAATTATACATAGCAACAATAAGTCACAGTCAATTAGTAACACTTAATAGTTAGTAATAACAGTGAGATCAAAGCCACTAGAGTCCCCTAAAGAGACATATCCTCCAACCGCTAGAACTAGATACCGGACTAATTGGAACTCTCATTTTTGCTACTTTGCAGACCTTACCACAGATGCCTGGATCAATTATATATCGTGCAACGCCATTGGTGGACCTCAAAAGGGATGGCTATAAGAAAAAGTTTTATCATCCTGAACCCAACTTTATCTAAAAACGTTTTATCCTCCTGAATGTCCCATCTAGATCCAACCTTATCTCACCAAATCAAACCATTGCATAGGGTTCGAATATGTTCGTTCCATCCTAGGGTTGATGCGACAACCATTTGTGCAAGATTTAACTCAAAAGGAACACGTCCTATCATTATTTCATTATCGAAATCCTTATTACCGAATCAAAAATTACAATCTTCGTTTCAAAATATAGCACGTGAGCATAAACCCATTACCATCAGATTAGGTTTCTCCTTCATTAATTTCATTATGCTTTAGGTTAGAACAACGTGTAATTACAATAACGTTAAACAAAGCTAAACATGAGACAACTAAGGCATGATAAAATAAAGCATATATGATATCACAAGATTAAAACATATAAGAGATATGGCATAGATTTGATAATCCACAATTAAGAATACTTTACATATAATTTCAGATATTTTTGTCAAAGAC